CAAAACCCCAAAACCCCAAAACCCCAAAACCCCAAAACCCCAAAACCCCGAGACGGAGTTGAGAAATTGAACTATTAATGACTCATAATAAAAATAAATTTTCAAAATGGCATTTTGGAATGTCTTTTTCGAATATCTGGCAGAAATTTTTGACAAAGACATAAGTCAAATCAAGATTATTCTATTGCTTTTCGTTTCCTTCTTCCTCAGTTATTTGATTACATTCATAAAGACCCCAAATATGAGATACTATTACTCCCTCATAACAGGATTCATGCTGAACTTCTTGATGTTTGAAGAGGAAGTGATACATCCCATTTCCATGCTCATTGGTACTTATCTGATTATGAGAATCTTCCCCAGAGATAAGCAGCAGATCATCAACTTTGTGTTCCTCTACACTTACCTCTCAGCTCAGCACATACACCGCATGGTGTACCACTACGGTGAGTGGGGTGGAGAAATCACGTCATTCACCATGAACTTGGTCTGCAGACTCACTTCAGTTGCTTTCTGATACTGTGACGGTGCCAACAACAAAGACGAAGACTTCCAGGAGCAACCATCGTTCATGTGGTTGCTGGGCTACACATACAACACTCCGAGCTGACTGGCAGGACCATTCTTTGAGTTCAAAGACTACAAGCACTGGATACTTTTGAAGGGAGACTATGAAAATATTCCAAGCACATTCAAGCCAGGGTTCACTAGACTTGCAACATCTTTTATCTGGATGTGGCTAGCAGCATATTTTTCGATTCATCATAAACCTGAAAAGTGTGCAACAGAAGAATTTTGCAGCAGATCTTTCATCATGCAGATTTGGGGCTTCTATTTGACTCAATTCTATTTTAAATTCGTATACTATTTTGTTTTTGCTTTGAATGATTCCTGCGTGATAGCAAGCGGACTTTCTTGGAATCCTAACCCTCGAAGATCAAAGCAGCCTAATTTTACAAAGATCAAGAATATTGATGAATGGCTTATCGACTTTGGGTATAAGTAAGCACAACCATCTAAACATATTGGCTATAAGCAATTATTTCAAGGTTAACAACTTAGGATGCTTTGGATAAGTCAGTGAGACCCCTCTTTGAATTAGTAGATATTAACACAAACAATTTTACCGTGGGTATCATATTAGAAGATCCAGGCTTCAATAGGTGGAGACGCTTGAAGGTTAATCAAGAATTTTAGTCAACGTTGTCAAAACTTACATAAATCACTTCAATGAAAATTCAAATTTGTTCGAAAGTTTGAAAGAAGAAAGCTTTGAAGCGATTTTTAGCTGATTTAGAATGTATTTAAAGTAGAGAGATAAATTAGTATGAGGAGTGGCTAGCAGCAACATGTCAAGACTTAATAAAAGATTATTTTGTGCTAGCTCAACAGCATTTTCATTGAGTTCATAAAGATAAAAATAATGAAACAATATTTGGTTTAGAGAGTTTATATCATCTTTCAATTAACCTATTGTTATCATATAGTGTGAGATTTCAAACAGCAGGCTGGAATATGTCCATTTCAGTATGGCTCAAAAGATATGTTCTCAAAAGATTAGCCAAAAATAATGGTGGTAATTCGATGCTTTATTTGTATAGGTAAAGCAGGTCCAAAAGAGTTCATTATCACCTTCATGGTGTCTGCTTTCTGGCATGGATTTTATCCTTGATATTACTTTTTCTTCTTTTACTTTGCTTTTGTGAACCTCTCAGCTGAAGAGATATATAACACATACTCGTATTTCTTCAGATTTTTACCTCAAAGAATTAGGAGATTAATGGCATGGTTCTTGAGTTATCTCTTTACTTGCCATATTGTTACCATATTTGCCCTCTATGACGTCAGGGATGTGGTCTACTACTTCAACTGACAATACTGGATCTATCATATCATGGCAATTGGCTTCTTCCTGTTCACTATCAGCCCTCCAGGCAAACGCATCAAAAAGTACGTCAAACAGCAGCAAGCAGTGCAAGAGGCGAAAGAAAAAGCTGAATAAATTATTAGATATGGAACAAATTTAGGAAATTTTAGAATTATATTGGGCTCTCTATTAATCTCAATTAGCCTGAAGCACCTGGGGTTTTGGGGTTTTGGGGTTTTGGGGTTTTGGGGTTTTGGGG